GGGGGGGGGGGGGGGGGGGGGGGGGGGGGGGGGGGGGGGGAGAAGACCCACGCATAATTGTAAAATTGACAAGCATGAGCAAAATATGTGCTAATTATAAAGGGACAGTGGTTTCACCAGTGTGGCATTATTTCGCTGCTCACTCCTCCAACTGCTCGCGTCGTGAGCGTTGACGTACCTGCGCAGCAATTCGATCCAAATCTTTTCGGCCCTGGAAAATGCATAAATGCTGTCTGCTAGCAGTGGTACGGAACTGACTCGGTGACTGCTTTCAGAGAGAGTTATTTTTAAGGGAGCGACCTGGGCAGCACACACAAACACATCTTCAGTTACATTTATTTCATTGAACAAAGAAGTACTGAGTCATCCAAGCACTGCCCCCGGGGGTCAAAACTGCGACACACTACCCGTGAATTTTCGAAAATCATAAACATGGGCGGAGGAGGAAACAATCTACAGTTTTCGAAAACCTTTTCATCATGTTGCTCAGATACTTCAAATTTAATGCTATCGGCGATGCGCACAAAATTTTCGCTAAGAGGATTTTAACTCGATTTTAACACATCATTAAGAAATAATTGGCCAGCGCACCGTCTGCCGGTGCGAAGATGCCTTTTTTTGCACAGTTTCCCGCATCTAGCTAGACGAATTGGGACTGCCCGTCAAAACTATCAGGAAACATCCCATTAAAATTTCAGTTTTTCAGCTTTCCTAGTCTCCGAGTTAGTAAGTCTCCCGCCAAAAACTTTCAAGGACCCGTATGTGGGAACCACGCATACCTGAAGGCTCGATCTGAAGTCACTAAGACCAACATGGACGGAAAACATCTTCTAAAATTTTCAGCGTCATAGTTTTCCTGGTTACTGAGTCAGCAGCTTACCCGGCAAGAACTTCGAGGGACCGTACGTAGCACCCACGTGGCCAAGGACGTCCACTTTGGAGATTGGGGCCCGTACGTGCATGTAGATTAAGTCCCCAAAGTTCCAGCCCTGTAGTCTTTGTAGGTCTCGAGATGAAAAATCGGCGCAGACGAACAAACAGACACGTACACAGACAACCCCTCGGCAGCATGCATTTTTACACTACAGAGATGCAAAAAACGCATAAAAAGGGACAAATAGCAAACACAGCTTTCGCAACGTTTTCTTCTTCAATGCATGAACTTGGGGCGCTTTGAATGACTAGTTTTCAAAGCATTTTAGCAGTTTAAAGCTCATATGACGCCTCTTTGGTTGAATTTTGAGTCTCGCCAGCTGAATTTCTATTTGTCACATTTCTACAATCACAAGTGCTTTTACCTTCTCCTCTCTATACCATCTACCGAAAATTTTGTCCCTGCTTGAAAAAGAGTACCTCAATACGTGTTTTTATCTGCATTTCACACGCTAAACACCACAGACATAAAACTTCAACACTCCTACTTGACCATTTACCACACAATCGATGGGCCTAATTTGCGCAAAAAATGGGCAACAATTGTCGGGGAAATAATTTTGGCAAAACTAAGACTGCATGCCTGTCGCGAAAGAATCCGGCCGTTGCCATCCGGATGTTTCTCAACCCACTTGATCGCCTCGAGGGTCTGCAACGCCTTTCTGATCACAGAGCCAGACGCTTTCTTGAAGCGATTTGGTGCAACGCCACGTCGCTTTCTTCCGCCATAAACACGTCGCAATGCGCCTACTCCTGAAAAACAGCATTAATAGAAGCTAGTACTCCCACAGTGCATTTAAACACTATTGATACTATCTCCCATCTTAAAAGGTTGCTTAAGTACTGAGAAAGGAGAGGCAATATATCCCATATGACAAAATAAAAAACGGTGAATGAACCAGCCGGGATTCCATTCTTCGCTTTTCAATTTCCTTGATATAATTCCTGACAGAATCAGATGGAATGTTTAATTTATATCTAATTTCCCACCAAATCCACTCATAATCTTTATTACAAACATATTATCTGGAATGATCAAATACGAGCCCCGTGACTCTCCGTTTCAGTATAATTTCTTGTGTGCAAATAGAGATAATGTTGTATATATATATATATATATATATATATATATA